AGGGACAGACAACCTCATCCAACCATGGCAGATCTGAGATGACTTGTCTACATGGCAACAGCAAGGCCAACCAGAGCAGCCAGGCCAGCCACGTAGTTTGCGACGGTCGGCGCAGCAGCAGGGTTTGAAGTCTGGCTCTGCGTGCCAGTGCTGGGCCCCGCCTTGGATCCAGAGGTGGTGGTTGAGGAAGAAGCTGATGCCGAGCCAGAGCCAGAGCCAGAGCCAGAGGTTGTTGTTTGGGAAGCGCCGCTGGTGGGGGTCGTTACGGTGCTGCTCGAGTCAGCCATCTTTTCTCTCTCTTGGCACATATCAGACACATTGCAACATACACGATGGTACCATTGGGAGGAGGCGCCGACCCGGTGATGTGTCCGATCGTGGTGGGGGCCGGGGAGGCAGACGCGGAGGCAGAGGGTAAAGAGACGGGAAGGATGGAGAGTCTACCGGGCGTGGTATCGGGGGCCGTGGGCTGAGGGGGGATGGAGAAGAGCCGGGTGCTGAACATGGTGAGGTTGTGGTCTTCAGATCAGTTACTTGGGGGGGGGGGGGGCTTTATTTACTCTTGGCGACGGATGTCGTCGGCTGTGGCGAGGGCAGCGAGGCCGACGATGGGGATGAGGGCGTACTTGATGGTCTTCATGGTGGGTTTCGGTGGTTTTCAGTGTTTTCCGTGTTTGGTTTGTGGGGGGCATGGCGAGGGGGAATCATGGTTGGCGAGGCGTGGTGCATTTATTTATATGTCGGGACGGCGAGGTGACGACTGATGAGATAGATGAGTGAGTGAGCTTTCGGGCATTGTCATCTGCGGGGTTCGGTGTGGTTTGGTGACACGGAGTGATACGGAGTGATACGGAGTGGGGGCTGGCAGACTGGAGAATCAGGCTTTGTGGTTGGACCGCGAACGAATGAGAGGCCGAGACGCCATCTTTCTCACCGTCTGGTAGTTAGTGGTTGGTGGTTGGACGCAGGCCAATCAGGGAGAAGAGCCGGCGTGGAGAATTCATTGTCCCGGCGGCCCCTCCCCGCCCCACCTGATGTCGTCAACCGCCTTTCCGTTGCTTCACCTTGAAGATGGTCTTGATTCATCCTCTCCTCCTTTCATATTCGTCCATTTCGTCTCGCAAAAACACTCTCGAAGCCTCGCCCCTGGTCTTCTCTAGTTTCTGACAAGGCGCATCACAGTTCATCACTACGTCTTGAGCTTTTTTTTTTTTTTTTTTTTTTTTTTTTTTCCCTGGAATGGCCAGCTACGATCCGTACGATCGGGAGCCTCCCCGTCGATACGTCCGAGAAGAGCGCCGAGAGGAAAGAGACGCTCGATACTTCGATTCCCGTGATTATGGAAGACCACTGCCTTCGAGAGAGTTAGTCCCTCGTGCTAGAGAGGAGAGTGACCTTTCAGTGGAGGAGATCCGCCGGGATTTCCCTCCACCTTCTGGACGGGACATTCGCAGAGCCCGCTCCGCCGAGCATGATCGTTACTACGAAGAAGCCTACGACTATCGTCACGACCGTCGCTATGAGCCGTCTCGCGACCGCGATCATGACCGCGGCCTTCGCCGAGGAGGTTCCTACTACGAGGAAGAGGAACGCCGATCCAAGCAGAAGGGCATGTCCAAGCAAGAAAAGATTATCGCTGCTGTAGCAGGAGCCGCCCTTCTTGCAGGCGGCAAGGAGATCTACGATCGTTACGAGGCCAAGCAAGATGGTCTGGAGGTGAATCGCAATCCTCTTTCTTCGGTCGCGCTCGCGGGATTCGGTGCCTTGGCTGGATACCAGGGCGCAGAATTTTACAGTAAGCAGCAGGCCAGGAAAGATCAGAAGGCACAGTATATTCTTCATCGTGGTCGCCATGGTCAAGTAACAGAGTACTACTCCGACGACGACGAGGAGGAGGAGCATGACTCGAGGCACAAAAGGGGTCACAAAAACTTCCTCGAAAACGCATTGGCAGCTACCGGCCTTGGTGCTGCTGTCAAGACCCTCACTGGCGGAGGGAGGGACGACGAAAGACATGGTGATGACCGCAGCCGCGGCGGAAGCCCCGCCAGGTCCCACGCCGGCGGTGGTTCAGGCGCCAACAAGATTCAGCAGGCCGCCATTGCATCGCTTCTGGCCGGCGCCACCGAGGCCTTCCGCGTGGCCAAGGAGCCCGGCGGTTGGAAGGGTGAGAAGACGAAGCGAATTCTCACTGCTGCCGCTGGTGCTGCCACAGTTGATGCTGCCAGAGGTGATACCCAGGGCAAACTGGGTCTCGCTGAGTCAGTCATCGGTGGTCTGGTCGGCAACCGCCTCATCAACGGCTCCAAGAGGGAGATCGAAGAAGATAGGGCGACTGGGCGCAGCCGCTCTCGCTCTCGCTCTCGAGCTCCTTCGCAGGCGGCCAGAGGTGGTGGTGGCGGCCCAACTGGTCTTGCAGCGCTGGCTACGGCTGGCTTAGGTGCGCTAGGTGCCAAGGCGGCGCTCGATCACCGTCCACGATCTCGAAGTCGTGCCGGGAGCCGGGACCGGAGCCGGGACCGGAGCTACGATTCGAGAGATGGGTCTCCCGACAGACACCGCCGCAGTCGTAGCCGCAGTGTGGTCGACAAGGCCCGCAACAGCTTGGCCAAGCTCGGCATTGGGGGCGGAGGCGGAGCTGCGGCGGCGGCGGCAGATGATCACCGCCGCCGTGACCAGGATGATTTTGACGACGGAGCATCTTCACGGAGATCCCGAAGATACTATGACGAATACGATGACGACTCTCGATATGATGGTGGCTCACGCAGCCGAGGAGGAGACTACGAGTACGAGAGCTCGCACCGTGGAGGCGGTCGACGGGACGAGTCTCGACGAGGAGGCGGAAGCCGCGGTTACGGATCCGCGTCAGACTTGGGTGACTCGGATGAGGACGAGAGAAAGGCGAAAAAGATGAGAGGTAAGCAAATAATCACTACGGGTCTCGCTACAGTCGCAACCATCCACGCAGCACATGGCGTCTATCAAAGCATGGAGAAGAGGACAGCGCGTCAGAAGGCCGTCAAAGAGGGCCGTCTCAGTGCCGCTGATGCCAAGAAGCTCAAAACAAAGGCCTTCATGAAGGACGCTGCATCCGTTGGCATTGCCGCCATGGGTATCAGAGGCGCCTTTGAGGAATTGAAGGAAGCCAAAGAAATGACGCATGAATGCAAAGCCTTCCAAGAAGAAAAAGCCATGCGTCACGAAAAGCGCGAGCAGCGGCGGAAAATGTGTCAAGAACCAGGGGACAAACATCGAAGAGCCGAAAGCTGGGCGCCGTCTCGACATGGAGACTTTGACGGCCATGACAGGGACGATTATGGGCCACGATACTACGATGACAACCCGTATAGTTCTGGAAGGCTCCCTGCTCCTCCTCCCATGGGCTACGGCCAATGAATGGAGTTGGTCTTGGTTTCACGGCTAAGCGTTTCAATCTTCTTTGCCTCGCGTTAGGCCTCGCGTTAGCTTGTCCTCCCAAAAGAAAGAAGGGGGGCCACCACAAGATGCCTATGGCCATGAAAGAAACGAAACTGTGCATCATTCAGCGACGTATAGATATACATCCCCCTTGCAATCTGGCGTTTTTTGAATTTCAATAAACAATGCTACGCGATGCTGAGAAGAGGACGATCGATCCATCTATGGTGGCTGCAAAGAGTTCACGGGGGAAAAGATGAAGAAAACACCAAGGGGCTAGCTATTCCACGGCGCAGTTTCAGATGGACTACTAGGGAGAGGCTGCATTTCATCGGAAAGAAACGTGGGTGTGCAGTGCAGTACAAGTCAAGCACGGCAGACTGCCGCCTCATCCACGGATCTGACGGCATGCTGCCACCATCCCAGTTCCTGAACTCTCACGCTTAGCCAGGCTGATGATGACTTGTCTCTCTTCAACGCTTCCTTCTTCAACAACCCGATTTTTTTTGTGATTTTGTTTTTTTTCTTGCATCTATTTTATCTCGCATCATAAGCAGAATTTGACTAATGACAATTGCATTTGTGACAGATCGTCGTTACTAAAATCGTGGCCGGCCAACAAAACGCACAAGCGAGCGAGGATTGCGCATCGATGGATGGTTTGTGCGTTTCCTTGATCGGTGGCGGTAAAAGCCCGTTGTTGGGAGGTTTCACATGGACCATTCCGCGTGGCACACGGAAAAGACGTGGCTCTGCGGGGAGCCGGGGAGGCCAGGCGAGAGCCATTGAAAGTCGCAGGATGAAGGAAACACAGAAGTCTGTTCCGTTCCGCTGTGTTGGCAGAATGTGAGTGGGCCGCTGGTTGTCCGTGGGTTTATCGTGGCCGGTATTTTTCATTGTGCAAGTCAAGTTTGAGCTATATTTTGCTTTCCCATTGGTTTTTTTTTTCCTTGGAGGACCGATTGAACTTTTTTTTTGGGGGGGGGGCGGAGTTTGCCCTTCTTTTTCTCGGACATGTCCGCGCGCCCCCCAAAAATCACATAGAGCCGTACGAATGAGAAGAATAAAGAACGAATGGATGATGAACAGGAGTACGAGTAAATGGCATGTGCGTAGCCAGCGAATGAGAAGCAGTGCCAGCCAGACCAGCGAGCGGCACAGTTGTACGAACGACAAGGGATGATGTCATTACCTACCTACCTCGTCCTCAAATATTGTTCTCGGGTGCAACAGCAAGCCAAGTACGGATGGAAGAACCGAGTCAACTTGCCTTGTTTCCTGCCATTATCTGATCACCCGTGGGGAAAAGAAATATAGATAGATGGTAATGGAAGTCTAGGCAAACAAACAGTGTTGGCCGTCATCAATCTCGAGCCGCAGCTGACGTTGATTTTGTTCTGATCCTTCACGAAAAGTTGCTCTGCTGTCATGTTGGACCCCTCCTGACCATGTTATATATACAGCCAGACACCGAATTGCGCAAAAGCGAGCAGTAAGTACAGTAAAAATACAACCCGCCATCTGAACAAGACCCAAAAAAGCCAATGCCAACGTCGTTGGCGAAATTGGCAAAAGATGAATGACCTAGACAGGGGTCGAACCTGCGACCTTCTGATGACGCTAATGAATTCCCTCTCAGGAGATCAGTCGTAGTCAGACGCTCTGCCATTGAGCCACAAGGCCTGTGGTTGTTGAAGACGACACCCGTTGTTTTATCTTATACCCTTATCCATTCTCTGCATGTCGCTGCAAAACGCACCCCTCCTCCTCCGCACGTATCTTGAAGCATTGAATTGAACCATGATGCACTGTTTCACAACATGCCACTCTCGGTCATTCACACGACATTAATGCGCACATTTAGTACCTTTGAAATCAATTATATTCAAGTACTTTTCTTTCTCTCATCAAGTAACCAATTTTATAAACAGAGTGTTGTCACCATTGGCCAGGTACACGCGCGAAGCACACAAGTTTAGGTTAGTCGCTGTATTCATTTCCCTCACCTAGACGAAAGAAGACATGTAGAGCACCATCAGGTGTCAAGTCATATTTGACAAGTTATCAATACATTTCATACACATCGGTCACATCGGTCACAAACACCTAATGCTATGGGATGCGCCACCCCTATGAACCTGCCACATCTCCCCCCGTCTGCTTCCACTTCTGCGCCATGGCCATGATGTTGGACAGATTCTTGGCCTGCTGGTCATCCGCGGGGAAGACGTAATCAAAGTACTCCTCGTAGGAGTCGTCCTCCAGCAGTCGTCTCTTCTTGGTCCGCCGCGGCATCTGCTTCTGCACATTGTCGACGTCCTCCTCTGATCCGTGCTCGCGCTCAAAGGACAGCCAGGCATTGAGCAGGGATACCCGCTCTTCTTTGAGATGCTTGTCGCGCATGCTCTTGTGCGCCCGCTCGAATATCTTGCGTGCGCGGGCTTTGGCTTCTTCGCTGACAGGTTGCTCCTTTGCGCCTTCTTCCTCATCTTCCTCGTCCTCGGGGATGTTGATTTCGAAGTGCGCGTAGCTGATCCAGACTTTGACGTGATCCGTCTTCTCGAGCAGTCGCTCGTACAGCTCGCGCGTCCTGTCGTACTCGCCCTCTTCTTCCTCGAAGTCAATGTACGCTTTCCACAGGAGTTCGGGCATATCCAGCTGCGGCTGGTTGACGGCCAACTCGAAGATGGCCCGGGCACGGTCCAGATCGTCTAGGCCGCGCTCCAGCTCGGCGAATTTTATCCAGGTCTGGCAGTTGGCTGGGTTGTATTCAACGTGCTTCTCATAGAGGGTGCGGCATCGCACAAACTCGAACAACTTGCGCTCCAGATCGACGTAACCGTTGAAGATCTTGTCCTTGGGACACATGCCCAGGGCTCGTCCCAACAACTTTCGTCCTGCGGTGAGCTGGCCTTGGCGAACCTCGAACTGAGCAGCTAATAGCCATATTTTGGCAAAAGTAAACTTCTTGTGCGGTATCAGGCCCAAGCAAGTGCTGTATATTTGCCGTGCTCGCTCGATATCCTGACCCTCAAGCTCCTCCCAAATGGCGTAGAAAACCCAGAGATAGATGTACCGTCGCCAGTGCCGTTTTTCTTGCGTCGGGGGTACCTGAGCAACGGCTCTCTCGTAAATGTCTCGAATTCGATCCACGTCTCTGCTGGACTCCTCTAGTCCGGCATAGTCGAACCAGGCGTCGTAGTTTTTCGGATTCTCCTTGACTTGTTCTTCATAATACCTTCTCCGCTTTGAAAGAACAACATCCTCAACCCCGTCCTTGTCACCAAACTGTTTCTCGAACGTCGTGTAGGCCTTGTGTAGCAGCATCGACTTTGATCGCGGTAGTCGATCCAAGGCATACTTGTAGATGGCGCGTGCTCGCTCGTATTCCTTCAGCTTGGACTCGAACCGCGCATAGGCGATAAAGAGCCTCTCGTCCACAAACTCGTCACCCAAAGCCTCGACAGCACCGCCAAACACGTCGCGGACCAGCTCGCTCGTGCCGTATTCCTCTTCAAACTTGGCCCACTTGATCCAGTTGCGGGGTTCTGGGTGAACAATGATGAAGTTCTGGAAAATGGCTCGAGCTCTGTCGAATTCGCCGTATCTCTTCTCCAACTTGATATATGCACTCCAAGCCGCTTCGTCGGGCTGCCACTGCATCCATCGGTCAAAGACTTGTCGGGTTCCGGGGATGTTGCCCAGCATCTCCTCCATGTACACGTATTTGTACCATAGTTTGTCGACTCGGGGTAGGATGGTGACGGCTCGATCCAGCAAATTTCGCGCATGGTTGATGTTCCTCGACTTCATCTCCGCCTCGATGTACCGAATCCATAGGACGACATTGTGAGGAAGAGCGTCGAGGGCACGCTCAAAAACTGATCTAGCGCGAGCAAACTCCTTTTGTTCCAGCTCCCATTGCGCATACTGAGTCCAGTTCTTCAGGTTGACGCGATTGCGGCGCACATAGTCCTCGAAACCCCTGCGCTTCCTGCCCTGGTACTCGTGAAGTTCCTCGAGATCGGAGAATTTCTGAGTTGGCGCCTGGATGCCAACTTCCTGATGGTCGACTGCCTCACGAAGCAGTTGTTCCGCGCTGATTTGAACAGGCGCGGCGGCCTTGTTCTTGACCCTCGGGGGCCCTCTCGACGACTCCATGCTGAAGATTGAGGGAACTGTGTTCGCGTCCCTAAATGCCTCTGCAAAGACTGCGAGAAATCAGACAAAGGGACGACGGGACGACGGGACGAGGCTCTCAAGTTTTTGGTGGACACAAGTTTGTTCTCTGCTTGGGATTTGAGCAGAGCGCGCACGGACCACACGACATCGACATCACCTCTCACTTCTCACTTCTCAGCCTCACAGCCTCGCAGCCTCTAAGAAAAAAATATTTGGACCATCAAGTTTTCCCACCTTCGTACGCCACACGCCACACGCCCTTTTCCAGCCGCTTCTCCCAACACGATAACAGACCGGGTCGCGTTGCTCACCTCCAGTCTCCAGTTGCCACCATGTCTACAGTCGCGGACGAGCTGCTCAACGACTTTGGAAGCTCAGGGGACGAGGCGGAGGAGAACGAGAATGATGGCTTAATACACGATGAAACGCATCAGAACGGAGACCGCGACGCTATGGACGTTGACGGTGAGACCGACGAGCTCGATGATGCTGCCGAAGGTGGTGAAATGAAGGATGCAGAGGACACGGAGGCGACCAAGGCAAAAGTCGAGAAGATGCAGCTCGGCGCAGTTAAAGATGTCCGCAGCGTGGCCAGCTTGATGGCAACATTGGAGCCAGTATTGGAGGTTGGTTCCTCCCTCTCACCCCCCCTCTTTTCCCCCCGTGAAAGCGGAAGCGACGTCAGTATCATCATGTTTCCAATAAAAGACGATTCGTTTACATTCGAATACAAGATAAGAGCACACAGAGCCCTGACAATACGGACCCTCCGAATATAGAAAATTGCGCACTACCGATCCCAAGCATCTACGCAGACGAGCAATGTCGGCAACATCGAAGACCACCCTGAATATCACCTCCTGACACAGTCCAACAGTCTGTCGACCATGATTGACGGAGAAGTCGCCTTGGTACACAAGTTTATCCGCGACCACTACTCGACGCGATTTCCCGAACTCGAGCGACTTGTCACAACGCCGCTGGAATACGCCAAGGTGGTGTCCATCATTGGCAACGGACCGATGGACTCGGAAAGCATCAAGGCTCTGCAGACATCCACAAATAACCCGATGAGCATGGGCCTCAAGGCCGTCTTGGATGGGCCATCACTCATGGTCGTCACAGTGGAAGCAACAACATCAAAGGGCCATGAACTCGGCGCAGAGGCTCTCGGCACAGTGCGCCAGGCATGTGCCATGATGGTGTCGTTGCACAAGGCCAAGCAAACCTTGGCAGAATACGTCCAGTCACGCATGAACATCTTTGCGCCAAACCTGACGGCACTGATTGGATCTCTGACAGCCGCCCAGCTGTTGAACGCGGCTGGCGGCTTAACTGGATTATCAAAGACGCCGGCCTGCAACATTCCCTCATGGGGATCGAAGAAGAGGCAGGCTGGTTTAGCAACCAACATTGGCGTTCGGCAACAGGGATATATTTACAACTCGGAGATGATTCGCGGCATTCCCAACGACTTGAAGAAACAAGCCATGAGAATCGTCGCCGCCAAGCTAGTCCTGGCCGCACGAGTAGATCGCATACACTCCACGCCCGACGGTACCACAGGCGACCAGCTCAAGTCGCAATGTCTAGAACGACTGGAGAAGCTCACTGAGCCACCGCCCAACAAGGGCCAACGGGCTCTCCCAGTCCCCGGCGACAAGCCGTCCCGGAAGCGGGGAGGTCGCCGTGCCAGGAAAGCCAAGGAAGCTGTAGCCATGACGGAACTACGCAAGGCCCAGAACAGAATGGCATTTGGCAAAGAAGAGAAAGAAGTAGGATACGGGACAGGCGAAGGCACCATCGGCATGGGCATGGTCGGACAGCAAAACGACGGCCGCATCCGAAACGTCCAGATCGACCAGCGCACACGAGCAAAGCTCAGCGCCAAGAGCAAAGGCTGGGGAGGAGCCAGTTCTGTCGGCGGCGGCGCTGCCTCGTCCATCGGGGGGTTCGGCCAAACACCAGGCAGTATCGATCTTCGCGGAAAAGGGCTCCGGGCGTCTGGTGTCGGAAGCACCCTTGGGCCTGCCACGGGCGCCGGCACGGCCTCATCACTGGCCTTTACACCTGTTCAAGGCCTGGAACTCGTCGACCCAAAGGTCCAGGCGGAACTCAGTAAGAAGCGCGAGGCGGAAGAAGATCGATGGTTCAAGGGCGGCACCTTTACTCAGGTTGGGGGGTCATCATCTACCAATGGTGGCTTCAAGGTGCCTGATTTGCCGGCAGCGAAGAGGGTTGACACAGGGTCTACCAAGATGGCTCCTCCGCCGCGGCCGCGGCCGCGGCCGCGCAAATGATGAAAACACACGAAGCGACAGGCAATGCTTTCATTCAATACAAGGCTCACAGGAATGGCAGAATCACAGATGATCAAGGCGGCCAAAGTTGGCATCTTTGGGGAAGAAGCAACAACATGTTTGAAAGAAAGGGACGCGACCAAGTAGTATGTATGCCTTCCGAGTTCCTTCACATGACAAGATTTGCTTCTACAAAGAGTC